TAGAGCCCAGGCCAACCCTGGTAGGACCACAGCGTAGTCAGACCTTGGCGATGCAAGCTCCCTTTCACTTTTTATGTATTTGTTGTAAGATTTTTCTAATGTCAATTTTATTTTTATATATAGCTGCTTCTTTGTGTTCATTCATTTTTCTAAATAATGCTACAAGGGTTGTGACTGACATTATAATCCATATAGACTCATAGCCTATGCCATGCAATAACACTTTAAGGCTCATCTGGACCAGTGAGAAGTTTTTCCTTTATGTATATTCTGTATTTCATCCCTACAGACGTCAGACCGTAACCAGCACTCCCTGTTGGATTGAGCTGCATCTCAACGGCCCCCTCCAGTGGTTGGATAAGGTGCTGACTCAGATGGGTTCACCATCAGTACGCTGCTCCAGTATGTCCTAAACAGGGTGCTGCTGCTGCTGCTGCTGCTGCTGCTGCCGCCTACGCAAATTCAAACTGACATTTCACAACATTCGACCAGTCTGCCCTAAGGGAGACCACCGTGCAGTCTTAAACTGATGTTCGCACACGATGAAAACAAAACAAAAACAAAGAAAAAAAAAAAGAAAAAAAAAGGATTACACAATGGACCTGGAGGATGGGAGAATGACATCACTGATGGACAATAGTGGAATGTTAAAAGTGATGTCAGAGTGGGCCTGATCACCTCAGGCTCTGTTGGATTGATGTTGACATTCCAGTAACCATGGACCTTTATAATTGAAATCACCCTGCAATATCAAAATGACGAGAGTGATGTCATAAGGGACTTGACTACATTCATGTTTTTCGGTATTTGATTGAGGCTGCGATCCAGAAACACAAAGCAGGACAGGGCTCTACTGTCCCAGTCAGTGACGCGAGAACGGTTGAGCATGTGACCTTCTAGTTACAAGAGAGTCTCTCCCAGTACTAGTCCACCTTGCCGCTTCACTACCTACCTACCACAGCACAACTTTGATTCAGTGTCAAGATTTCCGTTTACACAAGGTTGACCAACAGTAGTACTGCCACTCCAGGCTCATCTTCAACCAAAGTCAGCTTCACGCCTGGACATGATTTTTTTTTTTTCCTTCTTGGTTTTGGTGAACCCCAAACTTACCATTTTTATCTGGAGGATTTCCACTTTTCCTGCTTTTCTCCTCATCAGGTCCCGTGTTGTCAGCATCACAAACCTGATTACATTGAACTGTTGGTCCTTCAGCTCTTAAAAGGGGTGACCACTGGGAGAGCAAATTGATGTCTATAAGTAATATTACATACCTCGTCTTCACATGTTCACATGTACACACATATACTGTAACACAGACACTTGACTTGCTATTATAACAGCTTTGCTTTGACATAACGACCAATCATTTTCTCTGTGGTGTTTAATGTCGACTGGTCCCATTCGTCCACAAGTGTGCAGCGAGGCAGATGTCTGAGTGTGAATGGATCAGAGCTGGAACAAAGAAGTATTTCTTTTGTTCTTCCATGAGGAGTTTTTTTTTTTTTTTTTTTTTTTTATAAAAGTGTGGTCAGTGGCTAACCAGCACAGATAACTGGAATAACTAAGTTTAAGGGATTCTCAGCGCAAGAGCGTAAGGACATGTCACTCCACTGGAACTTCACACAGTTTATGAATATGTTTTTCAGACAGTAATAAATGCATAAGGAGTAAGCCACGGTTAAGTTGCCCCCTTCTGTTTTTTGAAGCCAAACAGTTTGTCTCACTGTTTCCTTCATGGACGCTCTTGCGCTTTCTCTTACATTTTTTTCTTTAACTTTTTACAATGATGTCATATTGCATATGACTTGTAGGTTGGAACTGGAGATATGCAGGAATGAGACTCAGTATAGATGCAGTTCAAGAGTCTAAGCCTCAATGTCACTCCCTGCTGTCTAACAGGAAAAAAAAAGACAAACACCCATCACTTTCATTCTGTGTCTCTTGATTATATGCTTGGACTAATGCACGGTTTCCCCATTATTGACATTTTACTGATAGGAAGACAAAGATAAGAAGTCCTGCAGTGTGGGACTTAAAAAAATAGCTTCTATACCGTACTTGCACTGCCCCAAATTATGCACCCTTGATATTGCTACAAGAAAATTGCCTTTGTAAAATACAGCAAGATATGCTTTGAAATGTACAGATAGGAATGTTGAAAAGCCCAACTGAAGTAAAGACAATTACAAACAAATATATTAAATGGTCACTATAAAGATTTTCCCCTTTTTTTTATATTGTCTGAATTGGCTTATTAAAGAACATCCATTTGATTTGAATGAGATGTCTTGCCCTGATTTCTAAGCCAGCTGTTACCTACATTGGTATTTTATCTTTTCAACTCGAAGTGTTTAAGCTTTAAGTATTTGACTAGCTAGTTATACGACACAGCTATTATTTTCTTTACACCTTCTTTTAGCTACATTTTTGTATTTCCACGTATTTTTTCTATATGAATATATTTAAAATCTTCAAAGCTTTCTTCCTTTTTATTAGAATTCAATATTTTTTTAGAATATGCCCACTGTATGAAATGAACTCAGCTTGCCGATGATTTATGAGGTATGTAGCATAGGATATAACATTTTCACTGAATTTACCATTTAAAACAGCTCAAATTGTGTACTTAATGATTTAGACGCCAAGACACCGTAATTTCCATCCACCTTCTTTTCTTTACTAAAATGGTAAAAGCGGCTGGTGAATTTCAGAATCTGTGTGTTATAAAGGTAATTTCTTGCCTTACTCTTACCAAGTTTTCAGCTCTATGGTTGTGACCCAAATTATGAGTGTGCTGTCCCAAAGACTGAATGCATGTATTTACAGTATGTCCTGTACACTGCAGATCCACTGTGTTATAAACCCATCTGCTGATGAAAACCTGAAAGTTCCAGTTTTTTATTGGCTTAATATAATTTTTTAACTTTCCAATGTCCTGCTGGGGTTTGATTAGTTTGAAATTATTAGCTACAAATTAAGATACCTGTTGCTTATTTTCAATATACCATGGTCATTAGAAAATAAGTGCATTTAATACCAACTGTTTTGATACTGAAAAATAATACTGTTGGATTAAATCCTAACTCAACTCAAAAAAGTCTGAATTTTAGTTATTTAACTTTAAAAGCTCTTACTTTGGAAGGTTAATTTGTGAAGTGTGTTTACATGCACGTGTTGTGATATTATATCCCAGTGAAAGGCGTCTTTACTAGTATAGTTTAGTATATCCCTCAGCAATGTTACCATGAAAAATGGGATTGTAAGTGGGACATATAAATGTATATAAATTGGATTGAGTGTATACTTGCATCACCATCTTGTCTCGTACTGTCACATTCCAGATAGTTTGTTGGACTTTCTCCAAACTGAGACAAACACCTGACAGTGGTCTTAACTTGGGGCACAGTAATTCTTGTGTGCATGTAAACACATTCACAGTTTCTATTTGATTACCTACTGCTGCAATTGCAACTTTAATGAAGGTTTAGTTTATCATAGAAAAAAGGAGACAATTCATATATATTGTCAGCATCCTGCAGGAACTTTGATTAAAGATTTTCATTTGATACAAACTTGCCATCCTCACCTATGGGGTGATGTACTAGAGCACTCGGACCAAACTGAAAGATTTACACTTTACATTACACTCAAAAGCAATTGATGGTCTTGTAGGACAACGTGTTTTGAAGTTAGTTTGACTACGGCAAATCATGAACTATACTTTTTTAGGAGAACCATTTTCTTCATTCATCGACCATTTGCCGGGGTCAAATTTTTTAAAGTACTCACTTGTAACCAGACTGAAACCAGCTGAATGCAGTGATGTTTGTCTGTCTATATGTGTATCTATCTGTCCAACTGTCTGTCTTGTCCTTTTGCTGGTCTGTCATTTTCTTTCATTTATTAGAAATAAAAACTTGATTCAGTACACATGTTAAAATGCTAAAATGAAAATATAGTAGGCTGTGTCATTGCTAACTCACATGTCAGTTCTATGCAGTGATATCAAAAAGCGCTATACTCAAAAACATTTCCCCAGTAGGAAATATACACAGTGTATTCTGATGGCTAGACATGCTGTTTTATGCATGTTGCCATAGTCCAGCAAAAGCTTTTGTATTAACATTTTTTTTTTTTTCTTTAAATGGGTGCCACCCGGCATTGTACCCCCAAACTAACCAGCTTTTCTCACTTCCTGAGAAGTCTGTTTTGGAGATGGAAGATGAGACCAAATGAGGTTTCGTGCAGGCTACATCTGCTCATTTTAAGGGTCCACATTCCTATTTACAGATTACATATTGTGTTTTCTTTTCTTATTGTGATGACAATTGTGTACCCCCAAATAAGCCTCTTTCTGATGAATTCCTAAGAAGGTGGCTTTTTGGAGGAAAGTGAAGCTTCTACATGTCACTAGTGATGTTATCGTATAGTTGTACTTTTGTTTTACCATGCACACTGTTTCTTTTTCTTGCTATCGACAGAGCATATTCCATTAGACAACAAGCTGTTAGGATTTCTGTCTTCTTCAAACACTGATGATGATCTTCATAGGCTTTCCAACTATTCTACATATACAGACAACTTCTTACAGTGTACACTAATAAAGCTGTTTTAATTCAACTGAAAATCGAGTCTGCTACCTTTCTCACAAATCTATCTTTAATTGGTTATCATTGAAGACCAACAATTCACCTCTAAATGTTTCATTTATTTGACATATTAGGTTAAATGGAAAAAAATTCCCGCTTTCATTTTCTCATGGGGAAATACACTCCCATAGCCAGATGTATTGTTAATGGAAAATGGCTCTTCATTCTTTAGTCTTTTTATGACCAGTGAATTTAAGATTTTCTCCCCACTGAAGCTTATTGAATTAAAAAAACGAACAATGGCCCTAAATATATCTCAATTTAATATGTCCATGTCACTGTTATGGTATGTTTAGCTTTATCTTCGATATACCGATGGCGGGCTGGTAGTGGGCGGGGCTAATCAATTAATTGAGCCTGTGGGAACCAGGTGTGGTAAGAAGATGGCGGAGGTACTTTTGGCGGGCATTTTTTTTATCTGACGTTGAAGCTAGCTGGGAGCCTTTGCTAGATGTAAGCTTTACTGTTTACCCCCTAAATGTAAAAAAAAACCTATTCGTTCTAGCAAACACCTCGAGATTGAGTTCAAAACTTGAAGGAACACACCATTTGGGCTGGCTGCTTGTTGGGGGTCCCGGTTGCTGCTACTATTTGAGGTAAGACCTAAACAAACTATTGTACTGTACTCTCAATAAGAGTAGACTAAGAATAGACTCCTTCACCCCAAATGTGTGAAGGAGAGATTTCGTAGGAATCCCCCCCCCCCCC